TACATAAAAAATACTGAGTAAATAGAGTAATACTGTGGAATCATTAGATTTCGTGGTGGCTCAATTTTCGTGGAATTCGTGGGTACCTCTCATCCACAAATTAAAATCCTTCACAAATTAATAAACTAGGGTTTCAATTTCAGATTTCCTTTTGTAGGTCAACTTTTCCTTTTTATTTTTAGGCCAAATTTAAAATAATGTTTGTTTGCCCTCTCCCTACTCAGGATGAAAAAATTGGGTTGGTAGTTAGGTGTGAAATTTTTTTCTCAGAAAATTTCAATATCAATGCTAATTTTTTAAAATCTATTGACCAGAATACATAATACAAAATAATTTCTTCATGGAGGTTAAAAAAATTTTTGAGTCAGGCCATTTTTAGCCAGCAGTCGGGAGAGGGCAACCAAACATTTTTTTAAGATGGCCTTATAGAAATATTTTAAGTTATATGACACTATTAAATAAAATCAAAATTATATACAGTTAAACTTCGTTATCTCGAAGTTGACTGGACCGTTGATGAACTTCGAGATATCCGGGGGTTCGACATATCGAGGGTTATAATTCAAATGAACTAAAATAACTAAGTGCCGTGAACGTGTACTTAATAGTATTCTATTCTGTATACGATTTCTTTAATATACATGTACATGTATTTAGCAATCAAAAAAAAAAATTACATCCTCTTTATAATTCACAAAATAAAAGGCTTGTATAATATGCACAGAAGTATAATCCTTCTACCAACGTGGCAAGTCAACCGCTGGCATCGTTTCCGATGTGTACATAACCAGATATCGTCTATGCATTGTAAATTTAAAACCGGTCGCTGTCAGAATAACGAAAACGAAATATACATTTTCTTTTATTGGAAAAACATGTTCAGACATGTAAAATCAGTTAAAAGAAAATTATTTTACCATAATAAAATCAAATGCAAAAGAAAAATCACACACTTTTGTCTAACAACAGAACAACACTGAATCACAGGACACTATAGCACAAGATTTTACTGTGGCACACGCTCACATGTTGGTGTGTACGGACGATTATAAATTCTGCACGCTCATTTAGGGAAAATAAATTCTAATTGCATCAAATTACAGAATTTTATTTTACTTCGATGTTTATGATTTTCACTTTCATATCCATAAACTTTGTATGCGCGCATATTTCACATAGCATTAAATAGCAATTATCAAGATAAACGTACCCAAGCCACAAAACAATTAACATGTCATCCACGCGTGTGCATTAGACTAATACACACAACCTTTGGCTTGCATAATTACAATCAAGGTAAGCCATACATACACTTCGTATAATTATCGCGCTATTATCTGTTGATCACAGGAACACAGGTAACCCGAGCGTGACAGACAGGTGGGTGTTACCAAAAGAGCATTCAGTTTACCTAACGGACTTGATCATCAGAGCGGAAAATTATCCTGACTTCGAGATAACGCATGTGATTTTAATGAATGGGTACACAATTTTACTTCGAGATAACCGGGGTATTCGACATTACCGTGTTCGACATAGAGGGGTTTATTTTAATCATTTATAAAGCAAATTTCGTCGGGACCGCGGTCTTACTTCGACATATCCGGGGTATTCAAGATATCCGTGTTCGAGATTTCGAAGTTTAGCTGTATCTCACTGTCTTATAAAACACCGACTGCGATTTCACACCACATTTTCTTTTACTACTGGAGGCAGAATTGTGCATGTCACTAAATGTAAAACTGAACGGGAACAGATACTATAAATTCTGAATTGTTTGTTTTTTCCAAAAACAGATTTCTCTTAAACCTATGTGCGGTTGTCTTTAAACTTATAATTAACTTTAGACAGCCTTATATTAAATTTTTATAAAAATCATTCATAGTGAGATGGGCCTACTGTCTGCCTGATTTTTGTAAATAAATAATTATACATGTATATAGAATAATCAAATTGTAATGCAACAAATACTGCAGCCACAATTGATTTTGCCTGTTGTACTGTTTCAGAGAAACTGCATGCTACTAGGGACTATACTACTAAAAAAAAAACCATTATACTAAGAGGGTACCATAATAAAGAAATTACACAAAGCAGAGACATAAATAACAATAATGTTTTTTATGTCTCTGCACAAAGTAATTCTCCAGTTACATGCCACGCATACTCAAAGAGAGATAAGCCATGCAGTTGGACTTATATTTTATACACACTGAATATAAACTTGTAGTAAAGAGACAAGGACCATCAATTTTGATTTAATTGTTATAAATGTAGTTCACTATATCAAATAAGTTTATTTTATGTTTTAAAAGCTACAAGGATTGACAATCACTTGTTGTAAGAGTGAATTCATTATAAGCGTGTTAGCTGTGTGTTTTTCTGTATACACTTTATTTATTTTTTTATTCTGCAGATGTCCCCTCCCCAGCATTTTTTTCTAATAAAAGAAAGAAATCCTTAAATTATACATACACATATTTTACTGTGTGTATATTTACAAACAGATTTATGACTATATGGATCAATCTCTTGCAAGTAAAAAAAAATGCTTTTAAAAAATTTCAGATAAAAAATAATTGGGTTGAATTTGTTTATTTTAGGATTCTTTTTAAGTATGTCAAGAGTGCATGTCTCTATATAAACAGCTCTGAACATGTTTTTTTTTTTACCTGTTCAGGTGTGAATAACTTAATTATTCTTCCTGCTTAGATAAATTGAGTTAATTAAAAACACTGCCGTAAATATGATAGCCACTGGAGTCAAGGGTTAATAAAAGAACTCTGTGTAAAGCCCTCTGTATTATAACAAGTAGGGGTTTATTTGTTTTGATGATTAGGCATGTTGTACATGAGCCTTACCTGGCCCCACCTGTAGAAATTTAAAAGTGGACTCTTCCTTTAAGTTTGGGGATGAATGGTTTGAATGCACTGTGCCTTGTGGGGGCATGTTAATTTTTTTTCTGTTGAGATGGGGGATTTAAACATTATGTAGGTTACCATGTCAGACCGTGACAGTTAAGAGGAGATAAAAAGTGAGGAGGAGCTGAATATTTTGGGGGGATCATACTATGACTATTGGAGGGAAAGCATGTGGTTCTATTAATAGTTTGATTTCAGTATGAGGGGGCTGCCTTGTCTGGCATACCTTGGGATTGTATTCATCTGTTTTCTCACCAGAGATGTTTGTGGACAAGGTAAAAAAGAAAATTCTCATCTGCCATGTATTTCTTTTTAAATTGACAGTAATTTTTTTTTTTAAAGAGAAAAAAAATATGTCAGCTAGTTCCCATAGCTATCAGCATACTCGGCACATTTATGCTTGCATTAGCTTGTAACCTGGAATCACTACCTTGTAAAATTCTTAGAATTTTAACTTCTAGCTATAGTTCATACAATGCATTAGAATGATATGTAATTTTTGTGATAATTACTGTAACTTTTCAAGTTATTCATGGAATCTAGGCAGCTCTTTATAATTGCCTTCTTCAAATAAATCTTATTTGTTTATCGATTGGTATGCAAACCCTTATCTATCTAAACCAGATATATAGGTCTACTGTTCAGAGCATATAAACTAAATAGCAACAGATAGGTACATGTACATTAAATCTACAGACAGAAGCTAATGAAGTAAAACTTGTCATTACCCAGAATGTCTCTTTCACTCTCTTAATTACTCTGAAGTACATTTTTATTGGGCCATATATTTCAAGTAAGACACCTACCTCTAGGATTTTTAATGTATACCTATAAATCTCTGACTCAAAGGGATTGGGACTATACTAACTTACTTTAATCATGACAAGGAATAGTTTTAACAACAGGTTTTTATTATCATTAGTGAATAAATTTAAGCTGAGGAAAAAGAATCAACTTTCATATTAAACTGCATGATAAATTCTGTATACACATAGCTGTGTTTATGTATTCAAGGTTTTCTTTTATGGCTATCAATATGTGAGAAAATGCTAATACAGTGTGTACATTTTAAGCAGTTAAATGTGCAAAAGGTATTTGAAATATTTGTCTATAATGCATCCACGCATATAAAAGGAAATTACAATGACAAAAATGCTTTGATGCATTTTAAAAATGTTGAATTTATTTAACAATGGCTGAAAGCTCATGTAGATCTTCACAAAAAGTAAATAAAATGTAAACAGGAATATGATATAATTTATAAGGACAGTGTTTAAAGTATGCACGTGCATTTTCTAAGACATGACTGCATGTACATGTATTCCTTCTGAACATGGCAGGTCACAGCTACATAAAGCTCCACATCTACAGGATAGACACTTAATGTTGCCAATTCTCCTTAAGTGCTGTAATTAATGATAACAGACATGCTCTTTACCCCCAGATACAAGTGCATGCATTCTGTTTGACAGAGTTGTTGACAGACATTGCAGATTAAGTGACACTTGAATTGTTGGTTGTTTCCTCTGGTTATTTTGGAATTAGGTGGTCAATGCAGGGTAGGCTTCTTCCATTGCTAGGGACCTTTGTATCAACAAATGCTACAACTGATTGTTAAAAATATAATACTGACATTGAAAAAGTGTCATGGCCTGGAAAATCAGTTACATCTATTGATCTAAGACATTATAGGGGGTATTTGTCCTCTAGATGAAAATCTTTGGAAGATCAGAAGTGAGATTTAATTTGCAATATGAGCTAAGTTCATCAAGAATTTTAAAACTCCATCTAACAATAAAAGGGTTTTAAACCTGAAAGTCTCTTTAAAAAAAATGACATTCCACTTCTATTTAGTTTTTATGATTTATGTATTTCTGCAGAGATAAATTATATGATTATTTACCAAGATGTCTAACTTACCATGCATATCCAAATTTCTCTCTAATTTTTACAATTTTATATATATATATATATTTACCTTTAGGTCAGAAATGTTGAATTAAATATGATGCATTATTTTTATAATGGACTGAGTTTTTGTGTAAGGAAATATATAATTTCTTTTATTGACTATTACAGCTAAGCCATATATAACTTCGAGTTCCCCTACTCAACTTCATCAGCTGCTAGGAGCCACAGTAAATTTATTTTGTCGAGCCAAGGGGACTCCCCCACCAGAGGTGGTGTGGTCGAAAAATGGCATTCCTCTGGTCAACTCCAAGCGTGTTACCATTGCACTAGACAAAGAGTCCGTTGAAATTCGAGATGTCCAGCGGTCAGATGGGGGGATCTACACATGTACTTTTACTAATTCCATGGGAGCGGTGTCTCAACGAATTGATCTCATTGTAGAAGGTAGTATGACTGTTTTACTCAAGTTAGCGTCTTTGACAGAGATTATACAACATGTTTACAACTACAGTCAAACCTTGTTATCTCAGACTCGATGGGACCAATAAAATACTTAAAGATATCCGAGGATTCCAGATATCCAGGGTAAAATACTCAAGGAATAAGCATTTGGGACTTTCAACTCACTTTGACATATCCATGGTATTCGAGACATCAGTGTTCGAGATACCGAAGTTCAACTGTATTTTCTCACTACAAACTATTTATGTTCTAAATTGAATAGACAGTATAAGAAGAATAATTTATAGCCAGTTTGATTCTTGTACATGTTGTATAGTCCAGGTCGTCTAGTTTCAACATATTGATCTCATTATTGGTGAGTCAAGCTTTTAATTCTTTTATAGGGTGTATGCCTTTCCCTGAGGTATAGTGATAATGCTTCAGAAGAGACCCCATACTGACAATATCATAGTTCAATAATAAATGATTTTGTTGTTAGAGAAATGCCACTAATCTCTCCATACAAGCTTTTATGAGATTCTTCTGTAAATCTGAGTATGTGATTTATCTATATAATTGTTAATTAGGCACAGGAAGCTATAAGCACACATTTCCCATTGTTAACTCTAAGACATTCCCACAGGTGCTATATGTTCTGATAGCCATATTGGTTTATTTTCATCTCTTTTAGCATATAAGATCTTTGAATCAAAAAGTGATACATTTCTGTCTTTTTGTAGGCGATGCCTACATTTTAAATGCTCCGTCAAATCGGACAGCTCTTAATACATTTCAGATCTGTCCTTTTTTTTAGGTGCTGCCTACATTTTAAATGCTCTGTCGAATTAGACAACTCTTGATACATTTCTGTCTTTTTTGTAGGTGCTGCCTACATTTTAAATGCTCCATCAAATCGGACAACTCTAGAGGGACAGAAAATTCAGTTTTCTTGTGGTGCTGCAGCATTTCCAAACAACATCACTTACCGGTGGTATTTTAAGAGTCGCAATGTTCTAACGTACAATGACAGTCGCTTGTCAGTGTACCCTGATGGTAAACTGGTTATTTCACCAGTGTACAAAAAGGATATGGGCTGGTACACATGTCGTCCTAGCAATGGTGTGGGGGAAGACCCAGAGGCTTCAGCATTTCTCAATGTCACTTGTAAGAAGCTTGACAAATTTCTAACAATATTGAATTATTTTGAATCTTGAAAATGACATAATAGACCATACCAAAGAGTAGGAGATCTCTTATTTGGAAGTTTTTGTATGATCTTAATTTTTTTTCAAAATTACCTCAGTGGGTTAGTTCAAAAAGGGTTTTGAATTAAATCAAAATTGAAATGCAATTACAATCTGCAGATGCTCCCAAAATTTTGGTGGATTTGATGCCTGCACAGGTAACCTGGGCTTTAGGATATGAGGAGAACCTGGACTGCCCAGTAGATGCCAACCCTCCGGTCAGGGAATTCAGCTGGAAGAAAAACACGTATCTGGTGTCCTTTAGTTCTGATCACATCACCCTCCTACCTAATGGGTCACTACTGGTCAAGAGTGTCCAGCACTCTGATGCTGGCGCTTACAGCTGTATGCCAGTCAGCTCCATTGGAAATGGTCCTTCCTCCCCGCTTGTACAAGTCATTGTGCAAGGTAATGGAGGCTTATCAGACAATGAACAACAGCCTGAAAAACAAAAGTTTATTTTCCCTGTATAGTCAATGTATAATTTTTCAACAATATTATTTGACACATAGACTTTCGATAAACTGCTAGGTGCATGTATATTCTCCTATTTCTTGGATTTTATACCTGTCCATCAATGATTCTAAGAGTAAGAGATCTGTGAAATTATTGCATACTGTTTATATTTAAAGATAAAGTGGAGTGAAGTTTTATGTAATTGCAAATATATATTATTCTAGAGATTAGTGTAACACTTTTTACAGATAGATATACTTAAGGACCCTCTCTACACTGCACCCTATTTTCAGGGTACTTTTGTGTAATTAGACTGACCCACCATTTGACATATAAATAGAATAAATTGTAATATGAACTGTATCACATAATTTAAAATAAATCCAAGTATTCTAAACATTATATTAGACCAAGATAGAGTATTTGAAAACTTTATTTGCATGTATTTTATCCATTTGAGTAAGTGAAGGCAATTTTTCTTTTCTATTACTTCAATGTCTTTGAAGATTTTTCCTGAATAAAAAGGCACGCTCCCTATATTAAAAATGAGTTAGTTAATTTCAAATTATCCTCCTTTATGTTATATAATTTTCTCAAAGTCCAAAAAACATTTTTCATCAGTGTATAGAGGGTCCTTAAGTTTGAACCATGATTTAGAAGTGATTTTCTACTCTGTCTTGCAGACCCCCCGAAGTTTATCTTCCGTCCAGAACCTCAGTACCTCAGAATCCCAGGGCAGGATGTGACCATGATATGTGGAGCCACAGGCAAACCTACTCCAGAAATACAATGGAGAAAGGTAAGTTAAGGCAGGATGTGGCAATGATATGTGAAGCCACAGGCAAACCTACACCAGAAATACAATGGAGGAAGGTAAGTTAAGGCAGGATGTGGCAATGATATGTGAAGCCACAGGCAAACCTACTCCAGAAATACAATGGAGGAAGGTCAGTCCACAGTACACTTACAAGGTAGTTCTCTAATCATTGTAACTAATTTGTCTTAAGTTTGAAAAAAAAATCTCATTCTGGATGAGTTAAGATTTTCACAGGGCTTGTGGATATCACACTGCCTTTATCTAGTGACGAGGAAAATATGTTACTTTCCTGGACTGGATTCATGTCATACTCCTAACAAAAATTCCCCAGTAAAGTAGTAATTATTTGATTCCCCTTAATTTCCAACATTTATTTATGTAGACTTGGCAATGAAAAGAAAAGTAAAAGCAGCATAAAAACAAAATGTTTGTGACTTTTCTGGTTGTTACTTTGGTTGTCTTTGGGGACTTAAAACAAGCCTGCTGTCCTACTGCAACATCACAGAGCATAACTGAGGCCTGTGCATCTGTGTGCATGTCTAAACCTGTAGGCAGCAACAGTAATGCAGACACAATAAAAATCAAATTTCAGTTTGTTTGATCTTCTTATAACTAAAAGAGATGCATTATATCTAAGGGTAAAAGCCTATCGATGGCTAGGTCAAAAGGTCAAGGTCAACAAGAATAGCAAAATTTTTATATTCGTAATGTTGTGAACGCTAATCAATTTACTAAGGGAAAAACTGCATTGCATCTGGGTTTTTTAGATAAAAGCACATGGGTTGTTTCTCTGCTGTGAGATTTCTTAATGAATTCAATTTTAGTTTCAATTACTACTGACAATCAGTTTTTAAATGTGAGAAAACAAAGATTGATTCTCAAAACAATGTTGCCAAAATACTTTTAAAAAAAAAATCAATCAATTTCTCACATTGCTTCAGTTACACCTTCCATTTAATGTTTTTTCACCTCTAGGTGACAGGTGTGTTAGACTTGTCAAAGAGTGGGCATGTCAAGCTAGAAGGTGGAAATTTAACAATCAGATCACTTGAAAAAGAGGACCACGGAAGATACGAGTGTCAGGCAGAAAATGAAGTGAAAACAATCGTAGTCGGCACAGACCTTATCATACAAAGTATGTCCTTACAAAGTGGACAGATTTTATTCTCTTGTATTCATATCATAATTGAAATCTAGGATATAACATATGTATATTCACATAGGTATTCTTTGACAAGCATTTGTAATAAGTGCCACAATGATGATTTTTATAAAAAATAATGTTATGTCAAAAAAACCTACATGTATATTGACTTTGATGTTCCAGTGACCACCCCACATGCTCCGTACAATGTAACAGTCATTCCTGATTGGTTCAGTGCTAGGATTAGTTGGATTCCAGCGTACAATGGAGGAAATGACCAGTTTTTTATGATATGGTAATACTTAAAAAGCATTGATTTGCATGTAATTTAAAAAATGCACAAGGATTTGCTTGAATCGACCATCATTTTTCACTTTTGTAAGTCGGACACTATGTAAAACTATGGTTTTGATTCACATTTACTAGAAACAGAAATTTTGTTGTGTATTTATAGGTATCGTAGTGTGAATGGACAGGTAGCCCAATGGTCAACAATGCAGGTTATCCCCAAGTCAGCCACTGTCTTCACTGTCTATGGACTGACACCCGATACCTTGTACGAGTTTAAGGTCCTCTCCAGAAATAATTTAGGATCTGGAAACTTCAGTGAAATTGTGCAAGCTAAAACAAAAGGTCAGTCTACAGTTCAGCAGCAAATTCCAGCATTCTCCTTTAAATCATTAGGATTTTTAAAGATCAGATGTTCCAAAAAATTCAAAGAAAATTCAGCTCTTCAATTATTTTGAAGTCATTTGGATGCTTTACATATTCTTGGTAATTATGACATCCTTCAGCTCAAGATGTTTTGTTGACATAATAAATATTAAGAAAAAGACTGGAATGTTAACTGCATTATGAATTTATATTGCTTTTATATTTTGGCTTTTTCACCAGATTTGCTAACAATACATAAACCACTGTCAATTTTTCCAGCTTGTATCTATATCACACCAAAAACCATTTTACATGTAAATTGTAATGTGTTTGATGAAATGTAACCAATCAGCTTTAAGCTTATATTTTTTTAATGTGTTTGAGGAAATGTAACCAATCAGCTATAAGCTTGTACTTTTGCTGACTTTACATGCTAACAGGAAACACTACCAAAACCACACCAAGATCACCTGGTACATTTTTATCTGGTCAATCACTTGCACACCTTTTCTAACCCTCACTTTTGTAGTTTTGTTGACAGTTCTTGACCAACACCGTGTATCTTGCGTCCTGTTTGTATAAACTTGTGTTTTTCCATGCCGTTTTCTCTTTGTATATTGGTTATCTAAAACTTGAAGCTAAATTTGATAATGAGCTACAGAGCCACCTTATTGAGCTGAATGTTTTTTTTTTTTAAAGTTGATAATCATCTCATTAAACTTTGATGTAAATTTGATTGTCATGTTGTTCTGTCTTTGTTGTTCTGTCTAACAACATAAATAAAATGTTTGTTGTTTTTTAGCTCACCTCAACGAAGTTGGGGGAGCTTATGTAATACCCTCGGCGTCGGCGTCAGTGTCCCAGGTTAAGGTTTTTGGAGCAGTTTTCTTTTCAAGTACTTCTATGGCCTATATTAGTCAGAGATGCATGGAGGATGCTTCTAGTGTGTTTCATTGTACCAGTCAAGGTTTCAGATGCTGCAATTTCAGCTGAAGAATGACCAGGTTAATGTTTTTGGAGCAGGTTAAAGTTTTTGGAGCAGGTTAAAGTTTTTGGAGCAGGTCTCATTTCCAAGTAACTGTAAGCCCTATATTGACCAAACTTGCATGGATGATACATCTAAGGATGCACACTACTGAACTTGCTTCGGATGCTGGATCTGACCTACATTTTCTGGATGAGTGACTAGGTTAAGGTTTTTGGAGTAGATCTCATTTCCAAGTAACTATAAACCCTATATTGACCAAACTTGCATGGATGATACATCTAAGGATGCACACTACTTGACTTGCTTCGGATGCTGGATCTGACCTATATTTTCCGGATGAGTGACTAGGTTAAAGTTTTTGGAGCAGATCTCATTTCCAAGTAACTAAAAGCCCTATATTGACCAAACTTGCATGGATGAAACATAAAAGGATGTACACTACTGGACTTGCTTCAGATGCTGGATCTGACCTACATTTTCCGGATGAGTAACCAGTTTTAAGTTTTTGGAGCAGATCTCATTTCCAAGTAACTATAAGCCTTATATTGACCAAACTTGCATGGATGATACATCTAAGGATGCACACTACTTGACTTGCTTCAGATGCTGGATCTGACCTATATTTTCCAGATGAGTGACTAGGTTAAAGTTTTTGGAGCAGATCTCATTTCCAAGTAACTAAAAGCCCTATATTGACCAAACTTGCATGGATGATACATTTAAGGATGCACACTACTGGACTTGCTTCGGATGCTGGATCTGACCTATATTTTCCGGATGAGTGACCAGGTTAAAGTTTTTGGAGCAGATCCCATTTCCAAGTAACTAAAAGCCCTATATTGACCAAACTTGCATGGATGATACATCTAAGGATGCACACTACTGAACTTGCTTCAGATGCTGAATCTGACCTATATTTTCCGGATAGTGACCAGGTTAAAGTTTTTGGAGCAGATGTCATTTCCAAGTAACTATAAACCCTATATTGACCAAACTTGCATGGATGAAACATAAAAGGATGTACACTACTGGACTTGCTTCAGATGCTGGATCTGACCTACATTTTCCGCATGAGTAACCAGGTTAAAGTTTTTGGAGCAGATCTCATTTCCAAGTAACTATAAGCCTTATATTGACCAAACTTGCATGGATGATACATCTAAGGATGCACACTACTTGACTTGCTTCAGATGCTGGATCTGACCTATATTTTCCGGATGAGTGACCAGGTAAAAGTTTTTGGAGCAGATCTCATTTCCAAGTAACTATAAACCCTATATTGACCAAACTTGCATGGATGATACATCTTAGGATTCACACTACTGGACTTGCTTCAGATGCTGGATCTGACCTATATTTTCCGGATCTCATTTCCAAGTTACTATAAGGCCTATCTGAAACAAACTTGCATGGATGATGCATCAAGGGACGAACAATCTCAAAACTTGCTTCGGATGCTGGATTTGACTTACATTTTCTGAATGAGTGTCTAGTTTTAAGTTTTCAGATTAGTCCATTCCCAAGTAACTGCAAGCCCTATCAGACCAAAATTGCATAAATGTTGCATCTAGGGATGCACACTCCTAGATTATTAGTTTAGTATGGGACTTTGCCTTACTTAAAGACAACATTCGTTGAGGTGAGCTCTGTAATCTCTGATTACCTATGTTTCTGTGTTGTCCCTGTCTGACAACAGAGGTAAATGCTTTGTTGTTTTTTCTTTTGGTTTAATCTCATGCATGTTAAATTTGTCAATGATCTGGCATAATTTGCTGAAAATATCTTTAATTTGCATACTAAAATTGCCAAAATGTTATAAAGATAAAACTTTTCACTTGTCATTTATCCATATATTTATATATATTATATTATATTATATCCATAGAAATACATCAAACGAAATGTCTTTTATGTAGTTGGTAGTTGTTAAAAAAAAAAAAAAGAAAGTGGGGAAAAAAGATCATCACTTAACAAGTTAATATAAACATCAAAATTATATCCATATCAACAACATTTTGTAAGATGTCAAGTCAATTTTGAGTATGGCTCTAGATGGACCTTGAAGCTTTTGCATGGCTAAGCTTTCTGAATCCTAGAAAGCATTGTAAGCCAAATGTTGTATATGTGTTTAGATACATGTACTGTGATTTGATGTATTGGTTGGGCATCTGCTATATTTTGCACTCTCATGTTGTAGGGGATGAGGCTAAGTTACCCACTGCTCTGCCCACAGATTCCTCAGGGCGGACCTACTATCCTATAATTAATAAAAGTATTGGTGAGTTAACAAGTCACAATGAAATGTCTTATTGCAAAGCTTCCTGAACTGGTTTAAACTATCTCAATGTAAATATTTTTTTCTGGTTTAGGTGCTAGACCTCCACCCCCTAGAAATGTAACAGCGAGAATTGAGGACTCCATTATTCGGATCTTATGGCTGCCTCCTCATACAAACATGACATTATATTACTACATAGCAGAGAGGTCCACAGATGGCCAGAAGTGGGAATCCTTTGACGAGAGAATCAAAGTGCCTTATACATTCTTCATTTGGCGAGATGCTCTCCCAAACGTTGAGTACTATTTCCGAGTGTACTCATACTCTCTGACCGCCTACAGTGTCCCCAGTGAGGTGGTCAGGATCAGGACTCCACCAGCAGAAAGTAGGTTCATTTGGTCGAAAGTGTGTTGATAAATATGGCTTTTTAAATTCAAATTTAGTCTTTGTTTATAACCTAGTTCTGAAAACTGTTTAAAGTTTAGGGGCTGTCTGATTTCTAATAGCAGTAGTGATTCTTATAGCTTCATAAAAAAGACAAAAAAAAAACCTAGCAACTAAGCATGATATGTTGATGTATTATATGTGTTCACTGAGCTGTGAGTAGCTGTGAGTTTATAATCTTCCAGTAGCCTCTGTTACAATTTGTTTCCTTGCGTGAAGCCTCTAACTGTGTGACTGTTATTATCTCCGTTTGCTGTTTTAGTTTTTGGACAGAGTGGACAATATGTCAGCCTATCCACTGAGCGGTTTACCACAATATCTCCCCAATCAAAACACGGTATAGCATTGCTATTTCTCATCGGCCTGCCTTGATAACAAACCTCACATATTCGCTTCATTTGTTTATTTCCAACCAGTATTTTCATAGCAAACATTTCATTTCTGCAACTTTTTCTGCACCCTTAAATGTGTAGAATGAATGTAAAAAAAATTTGATTGTTTTATTTGAGTAATTTACTGTCTTTGTAAGTTAGAGAGTTACAAATTCATTTATTTCCAGCTATCTGCAATATTTATAAAGTCATAATGTCTTTAGGGAAGACTAAAAGTTAAGCATATTAGTTATTTCTTAATCCTTCATAAACAGCTGATTTAAAGCCTCCACTCTACAACTTGTAATTGTGTCAAGATTATAGTCAAGTACTAAGGAAAGGTTGTTTTTATCGCAATCATTCTTTGGAAAAGGGATTGTAGGATTTACTAGGTATTTGGTATTAACTCTTCGTATGTAATTATATCTGTATATAGTGCACTCCTGGTAAGTACATGGTATTTATATAATCTCCATATCACTGCAGCTGTAAGCAGAATAATTCTGATTGTATTTTATGTGAAATAAGATGGAAATAATACTTTAGGAGGTAATCATCATTTAATTAGTTAAACTTCATTTTAATACAATATTACTGACATCAATACTAACTAATAATATAATTTTTCTTCCTAAACAGAATTTGTTGATTTAAATAAAAATGTAATTAAACTCCTTTTTATACTCTGTAATGATTAATGATTTTGTTTTATAACAGAAAGATGTGTATAATTTTTTTTCATCAGAACTAATTTGAAAAGATGCTTATATAATGGGATTATTTATAACTTAAATAATATGGGAATGGTGTGTGTTTCTGATTCAGTGTGTAACTGTCATGGATTCTATTCAGGTGTGCACATTGTGTGGGAAGAATATGGCAGAATTTCTGTTGTTAATTAGATTTAATTGTGTTTTAGTGTACAATTTTTAAATGTGTTGATTAAAGTCTTTAAAATTTATTTGCAAAATTTCCAGTGTAGTAGTTATAACTGTACTTTTCTGTTATTTAAGTTGAACAAAGTTTTTAACAAAAGAAAACATTTGTCTAAATATTTCTATTTTCACAGCCATATTTAATTGGAAAAATGTTCATGGTTGACAGCTTTCAAAGTAGTGGCTAGATATTCTCATTTAGGTGTCAACAAAGTTACATCACTCTTGTTGGTTTGAACACCTATTAAGTAATTAGTGCAGTATGATTTAAATACTTGTAAAGAAAAATTCCTACAGTTATGTCTGAATTGAATTGTGTCATAAAAGAATTGTAATAAAAGTTGTGTAGACTTTGTCTTCACTGGTCAGAACTAACTTGAGAGTAAGAACACTTGTTTGTGACTTTTTTACAGAGTCAGATTTTTTCCTGTCGCAGGCCGAGATAGGAGGAATTGTGGGAGCTCTCTTGTTTCTTCTGATCACCGTTCTCCTAGCGGTGGTAGGGATCATCTGTAACAAGAGGAGACAGAAGCCAGACAAGTTTGGTAAGCGGGTCATACAAATTTTTATGTACTATTGTAACAGTTTAGTAATACATTTCAACACAGCGAGTCAGTGCAATGGCAGTTAAAAATATTCAAGGTTCTTTATGATTTCACTAACTTGAGTCCCAGGACTCACAGTTTTTGAGGTTGAGTCCCAGCCAAATTTGATGTGTCCCAGAAAAATTAAGTTGAGTCCCAATTGAGTATCTTTCTATCCAGACAACAAGAAAAACCCATTTCATGTTCATTTTATGCACAAATTAAAAGTTAAATGGTTAAATGTCCAAGCTTCTTCCCCAAATGTAACGCAACCCATAATTATTTGCTTTTTTGTAGTCAATAGTTAAATAGAAAAGTCAATTTAAGTACTCTATATATATGTAGTTAACCAAATTCACAGATGTCATATGCAATGGAACTTAACTAATCCTATGGTTGGTCTACTGTGGGAGAAATTCAGGAGATAATCAAGCCACATAATGTAAACAAGTATTAATTAGGGTTTCTACATTGAATACAAGACTCCTATTTGTGAAAAACTGCTATGATGTGTTTCCAACAACAGGAGTTGGGGATGCAATTTCATGGACTAGCCTTATAATCTTTAAATAACCAATTACCATATCCTTGTGAAAAAGGCGAATAAATATGGGAAAAAAAGTGCTTGTTCAATGTTGTAGATAAACTAAAACATTCTATTTACAATCAGACAAATCTCAATATTTAAAATAATATATCCTATTTTTTCAAAGTCAAAACTTGCAAATTTCTTGTTAACATGGACACATCCACTGACAAGTCAGCTGATGATGGCTTTTGACATTGTGTCACGATTAATTTTACTGTCACAGTGTACATTACACCAATTTTTGCGATACTGAGAACCCTGAAAAAATTATACTGTATACTTGTAGAATTATCATTATGAGTTTGTATAAAGAATTTGGAAACTTTAAATTAAGCCCTTCACATTCACTGTAAAGCCTGTTTGAATTTTTGTTGTTTAGTAGCTGTACTGTAAATATTCTACATCAGACTCCATGCCAGTCTGTTTTCTTTTGGACTTCCAATACAGAAGATTTTTATTGCAGTTATGTTCTTCCTGGAAATTATTGGAGAATCACTTCTCCTCACTAAAATGGAATTTTATGTAATTCTGACAATCCTCTACCAGGAGAAAGAGACAATGTAAACGGAATTCAAGCAAGTTTAGTAAAATAACATAAAAGGAAAAAATTTAAGACAGTTAAAAATCTGTAAAGTCATCAGAAATCATAGAGTTATTTCTCTTGGCAGAGCATACACATTATTTTTTATATTTTTTTTTTTAGGAAACGTGAAATATATTGGACCTGCAGATGAACTAGACACCCGTCCACATTACAGAGGGTAGGAAATCTTTATTCCACAAGTGTTTTTAAGAAAACATAAAATCTCAATCAGAATAAAAGATCAATGATTAAATTGAATGTTTCAATTAATTAAAACTAAACTGCTTTTCTTCCAAACTAATGTAGAACAAAATTGAAAAATCTAAGGACTTACTGAAAATGTACTTCAGTGACTCTCTACAATAGAAGAGTGTTTAGCATGACATACAACATAAATCATTGTTTGTTGATTGTAATCTAAGATCCACTACGGCAGAGTCTCAGCGCTAAGCAATATATTACTTGATATTGGAAGTTGGGAGAGAGATTTAGCCTGATAAGGCAAAGTCAAATGACAATAAACAATGGTTATGTCATACAGTATTCTTTTTGTAAATCAGAGTTCCTGAGACAAGTGTTTTAGAGTAACCGTAACAAAAACCTACAATAATTCAGTTTGTAAATCAGAGTTCCTTAGACAAGTGTCTTAGAGTAAGTGTAACAAGAACCTGCAATAATTCAGGTTTCCTTTGTTAATGCGACCACAGGAGGGACAAGAAAGGTTTAGTAGATCTTCAGTATCCCTGGGTCCCCTGCTACTTGGACCTGCATGTTACAACATTGTTTTTTTTTTTGTTTTTGTTTTTGTTTTATAATCCTTGAAAATCAATGTGACATCTTGTATTGATTTTGTGTCTGTCTAATTTGTTTCTGGTATAGCTTTCTTGTGTTTCATTTTTTCTTAAAAAAAGAAAACCTGAATTAAATCGAATTATATTTTAATTTTGCAGTTTTATTTGCAAGGATATTTTTTTTGGCTTACATTTGATTGGAAAAAGTGCGAGATGGCAATTAATATCAGTTTGTAAAGAATGAAAAATATTTTACAGTTTTTCTGTTCTTGAAAAGTGCATGGCTTAAAAGTGCATTTCTTTTAATATTTTCACTACCACATTTAATGATTTTTTTGACAGAATAATAACAGATATTTGATTAAAATTTTGTTTTATAAAGCCAATTTCTGTAATGAAAATTAAAATTTCATAATGTATTTATTACATAAACACAAATTGTTTCCACAAATTTTATGAATGAATGAATGAGAAAGGATTGATTTGGTTAGAAGGAATTTCTAACAAATCTTTTTTTTTCAGTGAAAATACATCAGAATGGAGTGGCAGGGGGTCACCACCACCATCGTCATCAGGAGGAGGAGGAGCTAACTCTCTGAGGCGGATCCCCATTGCCAACGGAATTTACATCTTGCCTGACACCCAGGAGATCCATAGAGACCAGGACATGATCGCTCAGGAATACATGGCAGAATCTCAGCTTTACGACCCTCATCAGTACATGTATAACTCCGATAAAGGGTATCTGTTGCCCAATTCTGCAGGTCATGACCCTGGAGACTGGGAGGGGCTTGATGGTGACCTTAACAGGTCAAAGCTTGACTCTAGAAACACTTCACATAGTGTATGGAAAAATCCGGCCAAAGGGAAATACCCACTTTATTCTGGTTATTACAGTGACTATGACTCTAGTTTTCAGTCTCCTACATTTGAAGGAGATGATCATACCTATGTAAATGTGCCATCTCCTCATTCCAGTGAACAGCAAGTTCCCGACACATCATTTCAGTCTCATCCTCACTCATCAGGCTATCATGGAAGTTATGTTGACGATGATGATGAAAATGGCTTTGTACCAAAGAGACCTCCCCTTCCGAAAGAGTACCAGAGAATTGCCTCTGGAAGATCCATTTCTATGTATGATCCACTTTATGAAAATGTGAATTCTTCTTTTGCTGATGATGTGTTCCTACCTCCTACTCAAGACTTTCCAGGTAGACATTCACTGCCTCGACACAGCTCAATGAAGCCCTCCTATCAGACCTACCTGACTGGTGACCCCACAGAGGATGATGGAGGATTCACCCAACCATTTGGTGCTGAGGATATTTCATCTGTGATGCCATCTTTCAATGAATCTTTCAGTGGTACCAGAGACAGATTTGCATACCCTCCTTACAAGGACACAAATTCTAGAACTCTGCTAGAACAACCAAATTGGAGTGGTGCTGAAGTAAATAATTATCCATTATCTACTAGTGAAAGATATTCAAGACCAAAGAGAAGAGAAAGTGATATTAGATTCAGGTCACGCTCCAGTGATCATGCCTATGATGATACAAGACATTCCTTTTTATCTGATTCGTATGACTACCCTGATGATACCACAGTAAGACACATATCCCCAAGCAAAAGATCTCCCAAAAATGACTTCTCCTTTGGTCCTTCACAGTATACTAGGGATCAACTCCAAGGAGCAGTCGAGAAAATTCGGAAAGGTCCAAGAGCTCGAAGATCCAAGTCTGCTGGGCGTCTTCCATCTCAGGAAGCAAATTTCCCATACTCATATTCTCCACAAGTTGTTCCAAATCTTAGTTTTACTCCAATGACAGGGGCAGGGTATAGTCAATATGATGATCACCCGAGACAAAGATACTCACATGAAATAGCTCCCTTTAAAGGTGAGAGGGGTAGTCGATCAAGTGTGAACAGTTCTGGCAGAGGAAGTCTTGGAGCAAGGCATCGTTATCCAACAGAACCTCGATCTTATGCTCCAGATGATCTTACTCCAGATTCTCTCAGTAGTGGAAGGGGAAGTCGAAACACATCACAAGCAACAGGGTCCTCTAAACATTCCCACATCCCTCGAAACTCTCTCAGTTCATACGCTTCTCCACAAGAACATGACCTCAGCCAAGATTCCTCTCCATTCCTTGATGCCACTGGAAGTCTCCAGAAGGATACGTCTGCAGATGATAATTACGAGTTTGACTCATTACAAGCCTTGGAGGCTGATCTCATAAACACTCTCCGCAGCTATCCATTAGCCAATCAAAGTGAAGATCTTAGGATGGCTATTGAAAGTGGCCTGAATACTTCAGACTTTTATGATAATTTGTATCCAAAGCCAAGAGTTGAAAGTCAATATGACGATTCAGAGGCTAGATTTGAGAAGCTTCGTCAAGAATTTCATCAGTTTCGTCGTAAGCAACAAGAAATCTCTCAACAAACACGTCTGGCCATGGATAGTGATATGCTGTAAATTGTATTCATCCCATTCCATTCATGATGTAAATATTTACCTGTTTCTAAAACAAGAAAAATCGTATCTTCAATATGTCTACTTTACTTGAAAGTGTTTTGTGCTTTCAGAAATTGACATTTCTCTGTTTTTAGGTATAGCTTTCAGTGTTCAATGATATTTTGTTAATGATTTGTGAGTGCTTTAAAAAGCCAATTGTGTGCATGAGTAAGTGGATATTTTAAGAAACATTTTTGATCTCGGAAGTGTTAGCCTGTCATGGCCATACAAGATATGGGTATTTATGATCACTTTTTATTCCAAACTGTTTTGTTTTTTATTGCACACCAGTGATGTCCATGACTGATTTTTAAGTGCACCTGTTGGTCTTGTTGTTTTGTCTGTTTTCACAATTAATTGTTATAATCTGGTTCATGGAACCAAGACGGTAAGAATTCCATTGGTATTTGTTGTAACTTGTAACACATATCAGAACAAGGCTTAAGAGATTTGTTTTAAATGTTAAATTTTTTTTTTTTTGAGATTACCTGTAAAATGAGTCAAATTTTTAAAGATGAAGTAATTTAAAATTTGTGATGTTCTACCGGCTTTGAAAATTTCCTTCCTTGATATTTTTGGTTACCTGAAGAAAAAAAAATTTAGTGCAATGTTTTCTAACTATAATTGATTGACATATAAATGTATCACAAATAAATTTTGATTTTTGGGAATACGACACATGCAAGGCATAAGTCAAGGTCAGTCTATGGTCTTGATTTCTGTGTTCTGAATGCAAGTCTCAACTTCGATATCTTGAACCCTTAATATGTAGACATTTTGTCCCTTCATGTTGTAGATATCAAGTTTACCTTAAGCTTTATCAATTGTCTTAAAGTATTTTATCTTTTTTTTCTTTAATGGCAATCTTGTTTTATTTTATACCAAATGAATTGGGCAGCAATTTTAGATATATATATAAATCACTATTTCTTTGTACTTCATGGTAGATTTTTAGCTCAGTCTATGTTTATGTTAACTATGAACACTTTTTCTTTAGATTTTACATGAATTCCTTCAGCATTTTGTCACAATTACCTATTTTTATTACACACTACATATCTATTCAATTGTTGCACATGTGAATATTGCGAGGAAATCTTCATATTTATTTAATGTATGGTTGTATGCATCAATTGTGAGATGTATGATATCTCTCTGCCATTTTTTTTTTAGCTTGAACATGATATAAAACCAAATATTTGAAAAGAAATAAAATTTCTTGAGAAATCAGTCATGATTTGTTGGTTTCTGATGAGTGTCAGAATTCCAATGAAGTCTTGGCATTGCCTTTTTTCATCACGATAAGTACTTCAAAATTTGCTATCTGTTTTCAACCGTCTGTCAGTCGTAAACTTTTGAACATTTATAGCTTCTTTCCTTCTACCACTCAACCAATTTCAACCAATTTTGGCATATAGCATCAATTGGTGAAGGGGTACAAAAATTTTGAATTTCATGGTCCCTGCCCCCCCCCCCCCCCCCCCCCCCCCCGGGTGGGGCTAAAACCATCAAAATTAGTGCTATCTTAAAAAATCTTTTTTACTCCTGGACATCATGCAGTGATTTTAATAAACATTGAGTCCTCTACCAAAACTGTGAAATTCATGACCCCAGGGGTTCTGGGGTTAGGGTGGGGCGCTTATGATATTTAGTGGAAAGAAATAAATCCTTTAAAAATCTTCTTCTTTCTCTGTGTACATTGTATAAAGCAGATAAACAAGGTGTATGGTTATGATGATCAAGGGTGCCTCTTCCAAAATTGTGAAATTTGGGGGAGTGGTTCTGCAGAAAGGTGAGGAAGGGGCTCTTGATTGTATATTGAAAGTGCTTCATTTCTTTGAAACTCATTTCTTCTCCTGGGTATTTAGCAGATAAACCAAGTTTAAATCTATAATGAGGAAGGGTGCTTCTTCCAAAATTATGAATATCTGAGGCTCTGGTGTAAGGGTGGGGCTCTATTGATCAAATAGTGAAAGTGCATAAATTCTTTAAAATCTTCTCTCACCCTATAAAGCAGATTAAGTAGGGGCATGGTTATGATGAAAAGGATGCCTATTTCAAATTTGTGAAATTGTGGCCCCAGGGGAGGGGTTCTGCAGGAGTGAGGGGCTCTATTGATTATATAGTAAAAGTGCATTATTTCTTTGAAAATCTTCTTCTCTGCTACTGGGTATTTAGCAGATAAACTAGGTGCATGATTATCAAGGATGCCTCTTCAAAAATTTTGAAATTTGTGGCTACAGGGTCATGGGGGAGAGGGGGGTCTATTGAATATATAGTAAAAATGCATTTTTATATTTGAAAAATCTTCTCTGCCCCCTGGTTATTTAACAGAAAAACTCATTGCATGGTTGTGATGAGCAAAGATGTCTTTTCAAAAAGATTGAAACTCATAACCGTGGGATTAGGGATTTTGGTGTTAGGGTGAGGCTTTTGAATATATAGTACCAAAAAAAAAAAAAAAAACCTACAAATGCATTATTTCTTTGACAATTTTCTTCTTTGTCCATTGTTATTAAGGAAACTTACTAAGTGCATGGTTATGATGAGCAAGGATGCCTTTTCCAAAATTGGGAATATTTTGTTCCCTGGGTCAGGGGCTCTGATACTAGGATGGGGCTATAATGCATCAATAATGAAAACGGATCATTTCTTTGTAAATCTGCTCCTGGGCATCTAGGAGGCAAACAGAGTATATAAAGTTGTAATAAGCAAGGGTGTTTTACCAGATTTTGAAATTCTGTACCCTTTGGACAATTTATTAATTTCTACTGAAAGAAGTTCTATTCCCCTTTTGCTATTCACCTATGATAGTTAATCACTGTAAATAATGTAACTTAAAAGTACGGTACGGACAAATGCACAGATAAACAGGAAGTTGACATCGGATTCGTACAAAAATAAATCCCACCATATGACTTTCCTAACCAAAGAGTATGTTAAAATTTCAAGAATCTGCGATGAGTTGTTGCTGAGAAAACTGCGACCAAAATTTGTTATGCATGGTACGGACAGACGCACGGTTAAACAGGACGTTGACAACGGATTCATACAAAAATGAATCCCACCATATGGCATGCCTAAACAAAGGGTGTGCTAAAATTTATTTCAAGCATATTTCAAGTATCTGCGATAAGTAGTTGCCGAGAAAACTGCGACGAAAAATTTGTTACGGACAGGCACACAAGGGTAAAAGAGTATACCCCGTCTCCTTCGGAGCGGGGATATAATAATCTTCAAAGACTAAGAGAGGCCAATATGAGGGAGAATGAAATGTGTTAACTAATAGTGCTCTTGAACTATAATTGTTTTGTTTAGTCCACATGGGGATAGTGACAAATGGGGGAAATTACAGGCAAATAATCGATCAACTTTAAGATTTGTTATCGAGTACTAAACTAATATTTTGCTGATCTTTGATCATACTATTTCACTTGCTTTTTGGCAACATAGCTTCATTTATCAGCTTATTTTGTTTTAATCTATGGATTGTTACATTGTAGTCAGGTGACCATTAAGGCCCTTGGGCCTCTTGTTTCATTCTTAGTCCATATTATTTCATCAAATTTAAAAACTTTACTCCATTCACAAATATCCATATGAACGTTTCAATTGTACCTGCTTAAGAGATCATATACCATACAAGTGAAATTTTTTTTGAGACGCAATTTAGCGATTTACCCCAAAACATTGGTATATATTTTTAAGCGAGAAGTAATTTTAGCGATTTTATAATGTCAAGAAAAATAGCTTTAACCACCGATACGGAATACATTTTTAGCAACATTCATTTTTCACGATCTCAAAACCCTCGCTAATATTACCAAATTTGAATCCTCGCTAAAAATTCTGCTTATAGGTATATTTTTGCTTCACATGAGAGCGTGAATTTTAAATAATAGGACTTCATAAGGTGTTTGATTAGATAGGATGAATCAACTCTACATACCATGCTACTAACGACAACCACGCCAAAGGTGTCAGTTCTGTTGAATACGCATAGTGATCAGCTCGTGAAGATTCCATATGTTATTTTGAAAAGACGTCACACGACATTCTTCACAGGATTTCGATGGCAAAACTTACTGGACCAGCTCCTTATGAAACTTGTTTAATAACCCTAATCACACCTGAATGAATTTCTGAGAACAACTAACTGGAAATGGTGCTTGACTTTGAAGTACAGTTTACAATATTGATCATTTTGAGAGAATTTTTCATGAAATAAGAACAACATAATTTTTTTAATGTCAAAGTGTTGTCCTGATGCTCATGCCTGAACTGCTTCCTTCCATGACTAAAACTAACAAAAGCTTTAACTGATTTACAGGAACATGGGGGCGCTGTATTACTGATTAGTATGAAAATATTCATTGAAAGGCCACCCCCCCCCCTCCTTTTGGGAAGTATAGTCAAATCCTCCTGTGTATTCAAAAGAATTTTTGTTGAAAAAGTTGGAACCTAACTTAATTTTCTATTTCAAAACCAACTACTCATAAATTTTTATTCATATTTATTGTAAGTAATGCACAATCAGCACATTTTTTTTTTCATTAAATATGCACTGCAACAATATTTATCATGGTTAAGCATACAATTTATTTAATACGACACTTATGCCAAACCTTAATGTTCAACAATTTCGGAAATGTAACATTTAAAGCTAACGTCATCTTGTTTACTGTAAACCGACTATTATTCGCAACATCTTTTATTCGCAATTGGTCAGTTTGAAATCAATCCACGACTGTTAATTTTTGCAACTAAGGAGACATTTAACATAAATAAACAAGTAAATCATTGGTTTACGACAAGAAATATTCGCAAGTTAAAGAAGATCTCGAAACTCGAGAATATTTCTCACATGTGAATTAAGTTGGTTTACAATACTGGCTAATGACCTGTATATCAAAATAATTACATTGTATATCATCAACAGCTCACTTCTTGAATGCACAAATATCATTTTGGTTTAAAACACTAGTAGAAAAAAAAATAAAAGATGTACTGTGGAACCATTACTGTCATGAAAGTTCGAATTTCAAGAATCTTGCCCATGAATTCATAAACAGTCTCCAGCAATATTGATTTTTTAGGATGCTCTAAACACTAATGACAAATATTTGTTGGAATTTGAGAAAACTGTATCATATAAAGGTGCACACATTTTATTTAGTTTCTCTAGTTCATTTTCAAAACAAAGTACCTGCAATATTTCTCCAAGAAAAATGTTCAAAGACAACAAAGTATTTATGAACAGATATCATATTGTTGTTTACAATGGGAAAATACATGCATATAATGTCTTCAATTACTGTAGATCACTTTTTATTCGAGAGAACTTTATTTTCGCGTAATTTCACGAAACTGTCTGCTCACGAAAATTAAATTCTCGCAAATATTTGTAGTATAAGATTATATAGAACAATAACCAAAGATCATGAAAATTATGTCTCGCTTGTAAATACCAAATGGCCTTTTCGCGAAATTAAAGTGTCGCGAAAATTTGGTGATCTACAGTAATTATCTTGGTCTAATACAAGGTCAGATGACACATTCCTCAATAATATACAATTTCCCAAGAAATTGTCATTGAAGTGATGCTACTTTAACAAGTTTCCTCCCCCAAAAATAAGGTACTTTACCAGGCATTTGTGCAAGATACTATAGGGTGACGTTTTCTGTATAATCCTTTTGGTTATCTTTTGAATTGCCAGTATCACAATTATTAGTGTACTTATTTTTTAAACATTCTGAAAACAATTTAGAAATCACAAGAGAAAGACGATTATGAATAATTTTATATATATATATATATATATATTACGAAGAGATATATATGAAACAGATATTTGAGGAACATATCTTCAGACTACAATGTATAATGTTAAGAATACTTCAATCTATTTCAAATTTCATTAACTGTAGGTTCCCATTTATTTCATTTTACATTAAAGGACAGACCATGATACAAGAACTTTTCAATGAGCAGGAAGTTTATATCGAGTCCTTTATCCACAAAATTATATCCCTAGCAGCTGGTAATTTTTAGCGATCCATTAAAATTTGCCATCAGAAAAAAATGATTCCACAGTACTAAATATAAATATTAATATCATGTAAAACACATGCCATTTGGTGGTCTTTGTTCAATCAAGCTTACAGAGTGCCTTGAAATCCAGAAATCTGTTTTCATTTCCATTACAATTGTTTGAGAAAAAATATCAGAACAAAATTTGTCATTAATCATATTTTCCATTGAAAAAAAAGAAAACTCTGTACCCTGAAAAATTAAATCAATGCTAGAACAGAATTCTGTCCACATATTTCTTTTCTTTTCTTTTCTTTTTTTTTACATATATCTAGACAAATACAAAACCATATTCTTAACATGAAACAATTTCTTTGAGATAATTTATAACATAATTTGACAGAATTATGCTTTCAAATCTAGTATACAATGTATATTTCAGATCCCAATATACAAGAAACCAAGCAGTAACAAATTTGAGTGCTTATCACATGATTCCAGGTTACTTCAGTTTGTTCATATTGTGATGTAAAACACTGATACCTTAACTTCACTACTGAACAAATGTGTGGTAAAACAAACACTTGCACAGTTGCTACCCCTTATTTCAAAGAAAATTGTTACTGACCTATATCTAGTTATAGGTCATTGTCATGGTAGATGAGACAAATAAAAACAGAATCGTACAAATTATAGCTATGCTAAATCACTCATAGAAAAATTTTAAATATACCATAATCACCTGTCTGATATATGTTGTGTATTGAAGACAACAGGTCCATGAGCCACAGTGCTCACCTGTGTCTGTCAAATGAATTTGTAGATATTGTGGCCTTAAGAGAAAGGCCTTGCTTTCTAAAGTCGTATTCAGTATTTTATATTTAATACTTGCATATCAATTGAGCAAAATTATTGTTTAACTATACTTACAAATTCTTTAATTTTTTAATTGAATCTCTGAACCCCATTCTTGGGCCTTTCATGCAATAAATGACTTGTTGAGGATTGAGAATAATTCTTATAAAATGGAATATGAGAATGATTACATTTTTTATTTGACTATTTCATCCTTGCTGTTTGCGAATGAAGATTTCACCATTCTTAAGGTTCACCGATCCTCCAATAAGAAAGATAACTCTCCATGGGAAAAATGACTAGTATTTCCTAGAAAAATTGTCATATTCATTAATGATTTCAGTCAAATTTTGCACCACAAAGTACTCTGATCAAATTTTGCACTACAAAGAATTCTGATATTGTGGGCATTTCAATTATGATTTTGTTTCCTTAATTAAAATAATTATCATTTAAATAAAATTTAATATGAACAGAGGGATAATGAATCTTACTTTATGAGGATTTGTGTTTATTACATGTAATTGACTTATACAGTAGTAGCTTGGGTGTGCTGTTGAATAATTTGATGATTTTTCTGTCTACCTTTGAACCCCTATTGAGGCCCCTCCCTACCCACTGGAGTATGAAGGTGCATTTTTCAATCTGCAAAATTAAAAAAAATAACTTTTGGCAAATATAGAAGAAATCTGCCAAGTGGATCTAGTGAAGTAGTGGAAATTAAGGACACCGTTCAAATATCCAATCAGATTAGCTTCCTTGAGCCTTTGACTAGGGTGAGCTAAAAGTGAAATCTGAGGAGACACTTTTTTTTATATTGAATAACAAGTTCAAGTCAAACCTGACTGCATTTCAATATTGACTGGGATATTTGCAGACAACTGAATCTAAAATCAATATATAAAACTTAAATCTGATCCCCATTTTGGTCAGGATTAAGGATAAACACAAATCTTCACTGGCTTGTCATATATATCCCATCATGAACACTGCAAGCATGCACATCTCTTAGACTTCTGTCCTTTCGTGGTCCCAGATGGGTGTTGAGATTCTTGAGTTGGGGGTTAATTGCAGATTCCCTAGCATCACACCTTCATTACCCATCCTCCTGATTGTGAGGCGTGTTAATGTTCCTACTCTTACAGCAGTCAAGGTTTTCAAAAATCTAACAATAAAGAGAATCCATTTAAAACTATACAAGAAAGCTTTCAAAAAAGAGGATATAAAAGTTCGTATTTTTTACTCCCTCATTTGAACAAATTAAAACCCCTTTTATATAAGAATATGGTTTCTGATAATTCTGTTTAAAACTGGTCAAGTTGTTACTGGAAAGCTCTCTCAATCACTTCACCTCACAGGAGCCTATGGCCTAATTGAGCTAAACGACTGAGAGTTGTTTGTATCACATAGAAATGCTGAAAGGCATCATACATACAAAGGTGCATTCCTTAAACCATCCTCTGAGTAATAAATATGAAATCCTAAAGTAAAAAGGAGTTGAAAGACCAGCTGATGTACTGGTTGTTTACATAAAACAATCCCGTCTAACATATAACAGGCTCTGTAAAATTACCTTTATTAATGAATCCACACCAAACAAGTAGCCATCTTCACAGTTGCCCAGTACCCAATCTTCTCTGTGAGTGAGGGTTTTGCCTTGTGGAATAGGTACAGTCTTTGTAAAATCAATCATCCATGCCCCAGTGTTACCATACTCATCAAACATAAACAGAATAGAACTTCCAATAATCTGTAACAAAGTAGAATAAGTATTACACGTAACTAGAGAATTTACAGATTTTGCCAGGTGATGCGGGTTAACTTCATATATCAGCATTAATGATATGATCAGCAAAGTAATGCTCTCTGTCATCACCACTGTTTCTAATATGTCAAGGCTATTTTATGCAATCAATCAATTTTCCTGATGAAGTTGAAAAGCTTGTAAATGACAGAGGAGACCTACAGGTAATTTATATGTTCAATGTGTAATTTTAGCATTTGTCATGTTTGGTTAAAATGTACAGTAAATGTATTCACAGGTTCTATATACCCACAATATGTGATCAGAAATCTTTTATGTAAACTTTTCCACGTGTTATTGTACCCTTTTTATGCCCTCAAACTGGAGATTCAAGGGCATGTAGTTTTTGCTATCTCTATCTGTTCGTATGCAAAACTTTAACCTAGCCCATAACTTTTGAACAGTTGTGCTAAGGCTTTCATATGCTACATGTGTATTCCTTGTGAAAAGACCTTTCTTTAGGTAAACATGTTTTGTTCTCATGACCTTAAAGTTTGACCTATCTTTGAAAACTTTATCCTTAGCCATAACTTCTGCATGGTTGGTGCGACAACATTTTTACATTTCATATATGCATTCCTTATTACAAGACCTTTCTTTGGGTACCAACATTTTTACCTCATGACCTTGACCCTGGAGTCTGACACACTTTTTGAAAAACTTTCACCTTGGCAATGAATTGTCATATGGGGGCATCAGTGTTTCAGAAACATAACATGTTTTACATACACATGCATTTTATGCCATTACATTTTTCATGAAAAATTCATTAGCCTGGTACAAAAAAAAAAAACCAAAGCCCAAAGGCCACATCACTCACCTGAGCAATAACTTGGGATGCTTCCATATAAATATGACTAATCATGGCTTTAATAAAAGATTTTATAGATTTTTTCTTATATATTCCTACGTAAAACTTTGATCTGTTATTGTGGCCCCATCCTATCCCGGGGATCATGGTTTGCACAAGCTTAAATCTATACTACCCTCTTCCATATAAATATGAATAATCATTGGTTTGTTGTTTTTTTAAAGATTTTTTTTTCTTTTTTATTCCTACATAAAAATTTAATTGCCAACCCCCCCCCCCCCCCCCCCCAGCAGTCATGATCTGAACTTATTTTAATCTTCCATATAAAGAAGATTAATCATGGCTTTGCTTTTCTTCAAAGTAGATTTTGAAATATTTTTCCTATATATTCATATGTAAAAATTTCATTTCCCATTGTGGCCCCACCCTATTCCTGGTCCTCGTGATTTAAATAAATCTGAAACTTTGATCACTCAATGTGGCCCCAACCTACCCCTGGGGATCATGATTTGAACAACTTGAATCTACACTACCTGAAGAGTGAGGAGTGTGGCCCCACCTGCCCTAGCTCCATGGGGTCAAGATTTGAACAAAATTGAATCTACACTATGTAATAAAGCTTTCACATTAGTTTCATCTTTTCAGGCCCAGTGGTTATTGAGAAGAAAATTTTTAAAAGATTAAATTTTCACTAATTCTGAATTATCTTCCTTTGAAAGAGGGTGTGGCCCTCATTTGAATAAACTTGTATCTCCTTCACCTAGGGATGTTTTATGGCAAGTTTAGTTGAAATTGACCCAGTGGTTCTTGAGAAGAAGTCGAAAATGTGAAAAGTTTAAAGACACCACATGACAGACGGATGCTGGACACTATTCATTTTAGCTTTTGGCTCAGGTGAGCTAAAAAAACCCTAACAAGTATGGTTTTGGCAAAATAAACAAATTCAGTTTATGAACAACTTAGCCCTGCACTAGAGACTGAACCCTGCAGTCAGGGATCATGATTTTTAAAGTTAGTAGAGGCATGCCTTGCATGAGGAACTATACTGCTGCATATATTTAATAGCTGTGTCAATCTATAGGTTGACTGTTCATTAGGTCTAAATTATGGAAAGTAAACAGTCAATCTATCTTGAATTGCAAGAACTTACTTGATGAACTCTCTCAGCTGCTCACATAGTTCAGAACATTTTTTAAAAATGGAATTTCTAGATTTCCAAACATTCTCAATATAATGAATATATCAATATATAAATGTACACAAAATTCCAGTTTCTTACCTGGTGTGACATCAGAAATGTGGATGATTCAAATTTCTCTTTGATGTATTTTAGTCTGCTGTGAAACTTTGACCGTACAGAATCTTGACCCTGTATGAATTTACTTAGAACATTTTCTATTTGTGCCACCGTTTTCACTTTCTTTAAATTTGTTGTAGGAGATTCACCTGACACCTACAAGAAACATAATTAACAGCATTGTACATAAAATAAATATTAATGTAGCTGTAAATATTCATTAGATATGAAAACATGTTTGATCTATAAGTTACGAAATTTAGTGTATTCCAACTTGATAAAACCACTTAGCCATGTTGTAATGTGAGGTTCGTCTAGCTGTTTGAGATGGCAATAGTCTCTGTTGAGACTGTAACTCTATTGGTTTAAGCTTGAAATTGTCTAAGAAAAGGTCACCTTAGCTTGCAGACAAAAATATTCAGTCCTCACAATAGCTTTGATTGGTGTCTGACCCCTAAAGTATACTTTCTCAACATATGAAATAAGGCTATTGCTTTGCTTCTTATGAAACACACATTTCCTAATAAAACAAACTTAGTTCAAAATCTGAGAAAAAACAGAAAATATAATTTTTGATTTGTGCCATGATATGCCATATAATCTGTGGCCTTAAAGCTATACATTTTCATCCTTTCTAAATATAACTTGCCACTTTCATCTAATGTGGATCAAATTTTTAAAGGCAAAAATTAAAAGTCCTGAATGTGAGACACAGATGTCTATCCATGTACATGCCTACCATTATTACTTATTAGGCTTGTTATTGTCTATGGAATTATATCGGGTGATTAATCTCAATATATCTATGAGATTACTCAACTATAAAACATTTGTCTGCAAACCTGATAAAAAATTGATTTTTTTCAAGGACAATTATAAGTCATAACAGCGGGCAGTCACTTGTTATGTCTAATCCAATGAAAGCAAGACATTTCAGTCCGAGAGAAAAAACTCTACAGATACATGTATATGTTTGGTTATATCATTACAATAGCCTTTAAAATAATGATATGTTGTTACATTGTTAGTAACCAGATAGTGAGAAGAAGACCATATTAATTAATCATTTACTATAAATACATGTCAAATTTTATTTCCATTTCTAGAATTTACTGTAAGACTCCTTCAAAATAGAGAAATGTCCTTAAACTTAGGGTGTTAATATGGTAAATACATGTACTCAGATCATTATCAACTTGATTGATATTTATACCCGAAAATAGTTACTGCTGACACTCTGTGACTTATTGTCCATTAAGGAAATTACTTAGATCACACCACTGTAACTGAGATCATATTCTCTGATAATATTAACCTGATCCTTGTCAAAGCAATGATACTGCAGCTGTGTAATTTTTGTGCTATTCTCCACATATCCAATTTCTCCTTCCTAATTGTTTGCACAATTTTTTTTGGTATTGTATATATATATATATATATATATATATATATATATATATATATATATATATATATATATATATATATATATATATATATATATATATATATATAGGTAGGGAGAAATCAATACTGGAATAATGAAATATCCATGGCAACAGAATCATCAGAAACAGTAATATATATTCATGTGTGTATAGTGAGAGGGATAGAGAAAGGAAGAGTTCATTTGTAGGTAAATCTTTCAAAAAACTCAGGAATTTCAGCATACAATATTAAATGTCCACTTTATACTGGGTAAAACTATGACACTGCCAACAATAACAAAAGGTCCATGGGCCACAACACTCACCTGAATCACTATTGCCTTGTTGTTCATTCCAATCATATATTGTGGTCAACGTGTACCACTGAGGGTGATGATTTGAACAAATATTTGGATCTACACTACCCTAGAATGTTTTCCAGATAAATATGACAAATCATGGCCTTGCTGTTCATGAGAAGATTTTTTTCTTATGTGTGTTTCAATGTAAAACTTTGATCCATTATTGTGGCCCCACCTTACCCCTGGGGGTTATGATCTGAATAATTTAGAATCTACACTTCCTCAGGAAGCCTTCACACAAGTTTCATCTTTTTTAATCCAATAGTTCTTGAAAAGAAGATTTTGAAAGATTTTTCTTATGTATTTCAAGTAGTTTCCACATAAGTTTCACTTTTTCTGACCCAGTGGTTTTTGAGAAGATTTAAAAAAAAAAATCTTATGAATTTCAATGTAAAACTTTCTTCCTTATTTAGGCCCTGCCTTAACCTCAGAGGTCATGATTTGAACGATTTAAAATCTACACTTTAGACAACTTTCGCATAAGTTTCACCTTTTTCAGGCCTAAGGGTTCTTCATCAGAAGACTTTTTAATGATCCCACACCATTTTTGCTTTTCTTGATTATAACATCTTTGAAGGGTATGATTTGAACTAATTTGAATCTACACTTCCTATGGATGCTTTTGAATTAATATGACACATAATGGCTTTGCTGTTCTTAAGAAGAAAATATTTATTGATATATCCTTTATATCCCTTTGTATAACTATGATCCCCTCTATTCTCCTAAGGGGTCATGATTTGAACAAATTTGAATATACACTACCTGAGGATGCTTGCATATAAATATGACTAATCATGGATTTGCTGTTCTTGAGAAGATTTTTAAATATTTTTTCCTATGTATTCCTATGTTAAACTTTGATCATCCATTGTAGCACCACCCTACCCCTGGGCCCGGGGGTCATGATTTGAACAAACTTGAATCTACACTGCCTGAGGATGCTTGCATATAAATATGACCAATCATGGCTTTGCTGTTCTTGAGAAGAAGATTTTTAAAGATTTTTCCTTTGATTCCTCTCTGAAACTTTGATCACCCATTGTGGCCCTTCCTACCCCCAGGGGTCATGATTTTAACAAACTTAATATACACTAGCTCACAATTATTCCACTTAAGTTTCATATTTTCAAGCACAGTGGTTCTTGAGAAGAAGATTTTTAAGTGATGCCATTAATTTTTCATGAATTCATAATTATCTCTCCTTGGAAGAAGTGAGGCCCTTCATTTGAACAAATTTGAATCCCCTTTACCCAAGGATACTTTGTGGCAAGTTTGGTTGAAATTGGCCCATTGGTTCTTGAGAAGAAGTTGAAAATGTGAAAAATTTATGACAATGCCAACAACAACAAGGACAGACAATGGACAAATTTTGATCAGAAAAGCTCACTTGAGCCTTCGGCTCAGGTGAGCTAAAAAAGCGATCTAAAGAATTGATAAAATTACTGCTTGATGTCCAGGAGTAAAGAAAGAGGTTTTTAAAGATAGTCACTAATTTTGATGGTTTTAGCCCCACTCCTCAGAACCAAGGGGAACAGGGACCATGAAATTCACAATTTCTGTGCCCCTTCACCCATTTATGCTACGAGCCAAAATTGGTTGAAAGTGGTTCAGTGGTTCAAGAGAAAAAGATGAAAATGTTCAAAAATTTACAAATGTTGGACCTGCATGCACAATGCATGGCAATGGACAAAAATGGATAGCAATATGTCACTTGAGTGACTCAGGTGACCCAATAAAATGTGAAATGAATGGATAAACTGGTGTACTTGTTGTGTATTTAAACTTTTTTTTAAAACTTGAAATTTTTTTTTTTACCTCATTTACTTGAGTGAGACTGAGCACTGAGCAACTCCCTACTACCTGGTTTTATATTAGATAGTGGTGTAGTTATCTACCCTTAAAGCCTCTATTCTGAAGCCGTAATCTGCAGTAGAACTCTCCTCTTCCCTGAACTGCATATATCTGAGCTTGGTGATAGCCTGTTGTTTGTGTTCCTCTGGGGTCGGGGCATCGGGACACAGTTTGACCATCTTGTCGTACAAGTCTTTACGGAGCACAGGATTTTTTACTTCAGATTCCATAAATGTCCTAATGTTATCATGTAGATATAAATGGTAATCATGTACATATATATGGTTAAAAGTATATATTTATAAAACCTCAGAATCCATAAAAGTCATGAAGTTACTTAACATACATGCAAATAATCATATGTAGAGGTTCTATAATGTTTCAGTGTCATTTATTCATTATGTATGTACATATATAAACCACTACATTTAAAGTGATATGGCCCTAAGTTTTGCACATTCTATGTGAATTATGTTATATTGTGACTGATGTGTGTTGAAAGATTACTTCTCTGGAAAATTCATATGAAATATTGACATGAACATAAATATCATTTATCACATGATCCTGTTTGAAAAGAAAGACTCCATAAATTTTGAAAATTAGGACCTCCTATGATTGCATTTGCCTGAACATGAGGTGAAACTTGATGAGTGACCATGTATTTGTGTTGTATACAATGCATTTTTAATTTTATATAACTGAATTTATGTCTGTAAAGATTAAAAAGTGTTCTGCTTATGCTCTGAATCATTTTGATTCCAGCTGTCAACAGCACCAAAGTGTATTTTATTTAACCTACCAGAGTTGGTACCCCCCCCCCCCCCCCCTGAAATCTGAGTTTTAATCTTTTGTTTTTAGAATCACAGTAACTTAAGAATGTACACTTCTTTGCAAAATATCTTTTCTCTTTTGAAATATATCAAAGCACATTTTTAGACCACATCATAATAAGTACAAGTATTTGGAAAAACAGTAAAATTTGTCTAATCCCAATGTTGTGTTTTCCAAAATCTTGTCTAATACGATGAAAAATTTTAGTCCCTTTCTGTTAATTCAATGTTAAAAATGTTTGTAATCCATAATGTTGATTAATCCAGCCAATTTCTTTGGATATAGTGGTATCCGGATTAAACAAGTTTTACTCTACATCAATTTCCTATATAATGTAAAACATTTTACTTTTAATTTCTTTTAAACAAACAAACAAAAAATCAATAAAAACATCATAACAAGATTTTCTTTTTCATTTTAAGCCACTTTATATTGAATTAACCATGATCATACCTTTTCCCAATTTTTATATCCATAATATTTGGATTATTAAAATGTTGTAAAAGATCTTCTATTTCTATAAAATCTGTACAAAATTAAGGAAAATAATAGCATTTTCCAAGAGCATAATTTTCTGTGATTAAAGAGTTCCAATAAGTTTGCAACTCTTACAATCTGTATATCTCGTCTGAAAATAATTTTGAGAAAAATTTCAGATAGAACTGTATATCTAGTCATTTTTTTTTTAATCAATAAACTTATAGACTTTCATCATTTGGAAGAAACAATTTCTTCAAAACCCCTGGTTATGTACACTGATGTTTTGTTTCTGTCTAAGATCTGATGGACGTTAATTCTTAAATTTATATTATCCTGAAAAATAACCAATAGATAACTAAATTGCAAGGTACATTGTGTGTGTCCTTAAATCTTGCAACAGAGACACAGAATTACAGTGCAAGATTGATCAGAAAAGGATACATTCCCCATTATATTCCACCTCTCTGAAGAACTCAGGCACGATGTCATGGGCAGGATCCTTCATCAACATTTCGTACGCTTTAGTTTCTGTGCTGTCTTTACTATTTATCCTCCTCTTCCATATCGTACTGGGGCCTGCTGGAGCAAATGCACCTAAAGCAGAATAATTTCATGGTACTTCAAAAAATCTCAAACAGCCAACAGCAATCACATCTAAAACTTGATCCCTTGATTGTAACTTGTACCACACTGTGTCACTCCCTGACCTTTACACAAGATCATGACATACCTTCAAAATCAAAAGTCAAGGGCAGAAACATTGTTATTTAAAAAGTCTAAATTCATTTGTAGCCTTTATTATAAGCTATACTCTCAAAAAATGATATCAAATGTGAACTGCTCCAAGATCAATACAACAAGAGGCCAATGGGCCTTGAATCGCTCTTCTGATAAACTGTACAACCTATCACTTCTATTTGAAGCCTCGAAGTATCCTGTATATTTAGATAAACCCTTGAAATTCCAATTCACACTCTGAGAACCAAGATGATTCTAAGCCAATTAGTACCTGAGAGTTCGTCATGGTGACCTACTTATCACTTGTCATTCTCTGAGGACCCATCAATTAAGTTTGATGATTCTAAGCCAATTAATACCTAAAATATTTTTTTAAAATTATAACCATAAAATTTTATAAGTAGGTCAAAGTGACCTACTTTTCAATTGTTTTACTCCAAGGACCCAAGATGCATCAACTGACAAAGTTTGATGATTCTAAGCCAATCAGTACCTGTAATATTTAATTAAAGCCACAAATTTTCAAAAGTAGGTCACCGTGACCTACTTTTCAGTTGCTGTACTCCGAGGACCAAAGATACATCGACTGACAAAGTTTGATGATTCTAGCCAATAAGTACCAAAAATATTTAATTACAGCCATAAATTTTCAAAAAGTAGGTCACGGTGACCTACTTTTCAGTCAACCTACTCCGAGGACCAAAGATGCATCAACTGACAAATTTTGACGATTCTAAGCCAAATAATTCCTGAAAAATATTAAATACAGCCATAAAATTTCAAAAGTAGGTCACCGTGACCTACTTTTCAGTTGTTGTACTCCGAGGACCCAAGACGCATCAACTGACAAAGTTTAATGATTCTAAGCCAATTAGTACCCGAAATATTTGATTAAAGCCATAAAATTTCAAAAGTAGGTCACCGCGACCTACTTTTGAGTTGTTGTACTCCAAGGACCCATGAGGCATAAACTAACAAAGTTTGATGATTCTAAGCCAATTAGTACCCGAAATATTTAATTAATGCCATAAATTTTCAAAAGTAGGTCACAGTGACCTACTTTTTAGTCGACCTACTCTGAAGACCCAAGATGCATCAACTGACAAAGTTTGATAATTCTAAGCCAATTAGTACCTGAAATATTTAATTATAGTCATATAAATTGAAAAGTAGGTCACGGTGACCTACTTTTCAGTTGACCTTTTTTGAGGACCCAAGATGCATCAATTTACAAAGTTTTATGATTATAGGACTAAAAATGTCCAAATTATGCCTCTAAAACGCTTTGAAATCGAATGCCTGCAAAGTTCAAAAAGTAGGTCACTGTGACCTACTTTTTAATAAATATGTTTTATGGCCCCAAGATGCATCATCTTACAAGATTTAATGATTCTAAGCCTCCCCGTATTCGAATTAATGACCTTAATTGTTTTAAAAAAGATTAGCCATAAAATTCAAAAAGTAGGTCAAGGTGACCTACTTTTTAGTTGACGTACTTTGAGGACCCAAGATGCATCAACTGACAAAGTTTGATGATCATAGGCCTTAAATTGTTCAAAATATGCCTCTAAATCATTTTGAAAAAGAATGGCCGCAAAATTTAAAAATTAGGTCACAGTGACCTACTTTTGAGTCAACATGATATGAGGTCCTTAGATGCACCAACTGACAAGATTTGATGATCCTAGTCCTTATAGTAAGCAAAATATCAACATTTTAATAAAATGTAATTTTTGGTCAACTTTGAAGTGACCTTGAGACCACGCCCTTTGCCCCAGGGTAAATCCCCGTTCAAATTTTAATCTACAACATATCCTCATCCTTCTGTGTAAGTTTGGTGATAATCTGCCCAGTGGTTCTTGAGAAGAAGATTTTTTAGCAACCAGTACTTTTGTTTCTATTTTCCTAATTATCTCTCCTTGTTAAAGGGTCACAACCCCAGTTTTAATACAAAAGGGAGCCCTTGGGCCAAGGATACCCTGTGACAAATTTGACAATAATTGGCCAAGGGGTTCTTGAGTTATGGCCCATATTCTAAAAAGTTTACGCACACCGCACAAATGGCCATAGCATTAGCTCTTTGAGCCTTTGGCTCAGAAGAGCTAAAAATGATATTGATGAAATGACCTTGAATAAGGATATAGAATCAGTTTATATGATACTGATGACATAAAGATCCAAGCAATTTTATAACCCTTATGTCTATTGAAACAAAGAAATTAGAATATGAATTCCTTGAAAACTATAAATTCCTCAAATCTCTGGAACAGCACACTAGGAGTTTGAATTCATTTCAACTCTATGTTATAAAAGATGTGAAAAACAACATGCCTATAACACAATGCCTCAGCTAACCATGGGAAATTCAATATTTGAGAAATATACCAGACAATACCATAACAACAATTCTTATAATGAAACATCAATGAATTGCTCGGGCTGATACAATAAATTGCAGTAAAATTTGATTCAATTTTTAATTCAACTTCTTCAAATCAGGCCTTTCAAAATCTGCCAGTACCCAGTGCTTTTGCCTTGCTGAAATCATGATTGTACCAGCCAAAATATTTGATGGAGAAAAATTTGACAATATATTTAATTAAAATTTAATTAAAATCGCTTCCACAAGGTACCTCCTATTTTTTGTAAAAGTAATGCCTTTTTTAACCTTTTTCAAAGCCCAGTCAAATTATGATTAGATTCCTTTTTACATTTTCTTCTGGAATTAAAAATATAAATGCAATTTTGAATCTTTTCCTTACAATTTAGAGCAAAAGTGGTAAATGCCAATGGTCAAACCTAGGATATTGTGATTAAAAACCCACCACTGAACCTTAGGTTACAGGTGTGGAAACATTTTACCTTTCGTTGTCATCTAAAGCATAAAAAAATGTCAGGGACTCTCTCTCTCTATAAAAATTTTGATGTTGTTTATATAACAGAATTAATAAAATTTGCCCTAATTTTGCATTTAAATGAATAAATTATGTTAAAACTGCACATTGCCATGCATTGCTGTTACCTGGGTGACCTGCTAGCTGTATCCAGGCATTTTTCCTGTTTTTCACTAAAGCATCACTGGCTGGAGCAGAGAGATCTAATGCAGTCTGAAAATACATTAAAACTAACTTAAAAACTTAATCCACACACAAGTCTGCTTTCAGTCACTTATTTTTCAAGTGTATTTCCTTTATTTCTTCCATGGAAACACTAATTTGGAAATGAACAGGACTGGGAGTCCACCCTCGGGCCTGAATATTATGAAGAATAATTGTAATATATACCAATGAACATGTGCCACAAACATGTCAACAAACACTGAAGAAAAATTTACTTTACGTTGGACCATTATTCATTATCATATTGAATAAATTTTCTCAGGAACATTCAACTGTTAGAAAAACAACTTATTCAATCTTTCAATTCTTTGTAAGAAGAAATCCTTTATAATATGTTGTCATTTACATATGAATGAAACAATCTAGCAAGGTGGCTCGAGATATATTAACCCCAAAAATCAAGATCACTTAAAATTTCTGAAGTCATTTAATTTTTGTATTCATATATGCAGAAACCTTCTAGATGAAAGACAGACATACATTTTTGAAGTTTTAGAAAGAGCTTATTTTGAGATACCAGATTGTTTCAATTCTTTGACATTCCATAACTTCATATACAACCTTTTATAGTTACTCTTTAGTACCAGTACACTTTGGTTACAACTTAAAAAGAATTGTTTTAACTCATAGTAGGTAAAATAGATCTAAACAGGATTTCTTAAAAGACAATTGTTGTTTGTAAGTTGTTCGAAAGAATTTGAAACTTTAAATTTTGTGCTGTTTGTAGAGTATGGCTAACATATCACTAAGAATTACTCTGTTCATGCATCCAATACACTTGCATTGGACATATGCTCCCTGATATGAATAAAGATCAACATCAGAATTATCATGCTTTATCAGTATATATAAATTTTTAGGCAACACCCATATGATAACCTATACCATCAAATGAAAGTTACATTGTTGATGAAATATTGCCAACAAGACCTTTTTTTAAGATACATGTACTTTAAAGTTAGTATACCAGGTCTGGGTTTCACAAAACTATCATAAGATTTGTCTTAAGAAAGATCTTACAATCATCTTTAGATCTGACTTAATATGACACTCATAAGAGCTGTCACTGCCGTTTCACAAAACCATCTTAAGTATATGAAATCTTAGGACAAGTTTATATTACAAGGATTTAACAACAACAAAAAATTTGTTCTCACAAGTTTTAGTCGCCTTTCTTTAATGATTTTTAATATTTGAAATAATAGTCTGTCTCGAATTATCTTCTTAAATGCTCAAAAAAGACATTTTAATGCAACAACTACAATATAGGAAAGGGGGGGGGAGGGTCAGAAAAACTGTACAGTATTGAGTTTTCATACACATCTGGCAGATGAAAAGGGGGGGGGGGGGGATGTACCTCAAGTACCAAAACTGTTTCATCAAATTCTCTGAAAAAAGTCATCAAAGTGTAATAAACGGAAACAACTTACAAATGTAGGGGGCTACAAAAGTAGATTTAAAATTAAATAATGTTAAATTAAGTTATAAATGATACCTGGATCTTACATACATGTATACAGGCCCATAGGAAGAATTTCAGTGGGGAATGGGGGGCATGCACATCCAAACAATTTCAGTTGGGGGGGGGGGGGGAGGCAACAACACAAATTCCTTGACAAGCAAAAGAATTATAGGGCACAACCATAAAGTAGCTGTTTTCTATCATAGAGTATTTATTGGTAAAATTATTGGTGGTGTAATGGGGGGGGGGGGGGGGGGGCAAAGATTCCATGGGCCTGATATAGTCTGAATTATTTTTCTATCTCTAAATACCATTTTCTTTTAAAAGTCTTTCAGTTTTGAGCCAAAAGATATACTTTTGCCATATTGTTCACTTTAAACTTAAAAAAACAACAACAGGTATCTAGTTACTTAAGATTAAGATAGATCTCAAGATTTTCATAAGATATGAGAGTTCGGTGAATCAGCTATGGTGCAATCTTATGATAAATTTCGGTCTTGAGACAGATTTAGTCATAAAATAGTTTTGTGAAGCAGGCTCCAAGACAACAGAGATAAAAAAAAATTGTATTATTTGGGGGGGGGGGGAGGGATTTGTTTTATTTCCTTAGAAAAGAACAAAAATAAAAAATCAATGGACAAAGTACATAAATTTCTAAAATGAAAGCATCATCAGACATGAGAGTGAACTAAATTTTCAGATTTTGACTATAATATTGTAAGTAACAGAATAGGACAATATTTCTAATTCCCAAACTTTAATATCCAGTCCTACCTATCATACATGTGTAAATATTTTTATATCCTGCATTCCACTCACATACATATCATCTCTACTGGTGCGACTGCAAAATTTGCATGATCAAAAACCCTTGGTTTAATTGTGAAGATATTAAAACATCAGTGCTTTTATTAATTATCTTAATGCAGACATACATGTTACCAAAAAAGTTTTTTTGGGGGAGGGGGGGGTATTAAACATTTTGAAAAGTAATTTTTTTTACACAGTTGAAAAAAAATAAAAAAAAGATTTATTAAAAATAAATTGGTGCAAAAGGAAAAAAAATTAAGCAATGATTTATCTTCCCATTATTATCAGCAAGTTAATTTCAATTTTATATTCATTTATGCAAGTGGTTTCTCACGTAAAGAAGGGGGAGACATTTCAAATGACAGCTTTTAGTTTGGCTATTTATTTTGGCTATCACAGATTTCATGTTGTGTAACCAGAAAAAAACCACAGGTGTCTGTAAATGTTTAGTACAACTGATAAATTTACCTGTGTACATCAAGGACCACTTATGTGGTAGGTAAGATCTAGTCAGTCTTATACAGGTACTGTCAACAGCCCACACTTACTCCTTTATACTGATAAGAAATGCCAGAATTACTAGTATAAGGGAATGGGTCTTTTTTTTTTAAAGTTAAAACTGCATAAAAACAATTTGAGGTGATTGATCATTCAATTTCTATCTCTCAATTACATTTTTTCCTGCAGCCTCCACATTCATGAAAACTAATTACTATATAAAACAAAATATATCACAAAATCCAATAACAAAATACGTATCAGTAATTAAGCTACGGACAAGGGGGATAGGTACGGTATGATAGAGTAATGTCACCATGCTGTGTGAACCAAAATAAACCATATTTATCTGGTTCCTAATTAATACTTCCTGTTATCACTCCAGATAAAATCTCCATTTTATCTCTGACTAATCCAATTACACAACACAAAGAACTGCCATGAACTTATGAAAATTAAATTTCTCTTGTTGTGAATTACATGTACGTCATTATATTAAGTCCATAACTTAGAAATAGTAAGTGTACTTAATACATGTATTAATAATTCAGTATAAAATAATATTTTTTTTATATATCAGAGCATCACATAATCATATTTCCTCAAGACAAGCCTTCAATCACATACCCATAAGCTTGATTTAAATGCCCCCCCCCCTTCCCCAATTTCTCAAGTTTTTCCAACTGTTGATCAGTAAATGTGTACAGAAATTAAAACAGACTACAAGCATGTTTCATCTTGATTTTGTTTAGAGAATTACTATTTTGAAAATTCTTCTGAAAAATTTTATCAAAAACCTGTATATATACTTTAAAAATGTTTTCCATGTACATGAGCATCCCCAAAGTGCTGGGCCCGCATTTAAAGCTTAAGTTGACATTTAAGTGGCAGGCAATAAGCCTTCCACTTAAATGTCAACATAAGCTTTCTGAGTTCTACTGCCGGAAAGAGCAAGCAATACACAGTTTTTTTTAATTCATGCATGAATGGTTTACATACCTGACAATACAACATAATGTGTTATTAATTTATCTTAAGGCCATAGAGGACCACATACCATCCTGTGGGAAGGCATCACAATGCCCCTGTACTGATCAGTGCAATTGTAGCGTAAATTCCAGCTATCCCTTTCGGCACTAACACCTATTCCCTTGAACCACCTTTGGGGTTAACAAACTTAGGTATTCATTACCTATCTGTCTCTTTGTTGTTTTGTTATTGTAATTTTATCTCACCTTATCAGCCCAAAATGATAACGATTAATGTAAACGAAGCCAACAGTCTCTCCTCATTTTAGGAATACCAAGCCATACATAACACTACAGAAATTTTATTTTGGGTTACATCCTTATTGTTGAAAATTCTGTTGGAATCTACAGCATTAATTTACTTAGAATCAAAATGAAAATCAGCCGTTCTCAAAATTTAATCAGCTTCTAGAAACATTGTCACTTATGAATGAACAATCCAGACCAATCACTCAATATGTCATAAAACAACTCTAGATTTGATAATCTTATTAAAAATAGATGTATATTTGGGTCATATGCCCATTGTCTTACTGCATAAAATTCTTTCAAACCCTAGCATTTGTGATTCCAAGAAAGGATAAAAAGAAAATTTAGCCATTCTCTAAATTAGATCAACCTAGAGAAACATAAACCATCAGATCAAACACTGAAATACGCCATACAAAAAAATAAATCATCTTATTAGAAATAGAGATGTGCATATACGTGAACATATACGTCAATATACGTAACCAATATAAGTAATCATATTACCGTACCAAAGCCAAAAGGTTAGCAAAAGCCGTTGCGCTGACTTTGGATTTAGCACACGATTGCATATTGTTCCTGATTTCTGTGATCATCATGCATCGGTTACATAATTTGTGTTTGGCTGTTTCCATAGTCAACGTAATATCTATCTTTTCGTCCTTGTCACAAACGTTACACATCTTGTAACCCCGCCAGCGGGGAAACTTAAAAAATTCCTTCCCTTCCAAGGGAAAATCTAAAGACAAGACACTTCCACAAGAGTAATTCCTAGCTATGGATGGGTTATTCAGGATTGTAGGTTCGGCCTCGGATTCGTTGGTCTGTCCGCCGGACGTGTGTTTGCGGGACTTCCTCGTTAGTTTACGATGTAGGTACAAGGTTTTCACGGTATTGTCTGCCTGGGATGACGTTGTGTGAACACAACCCATTCTGAATGAGCAAGCGTAATTCCTTGCAATAAATGTTAGATAAAAATCACTGATTATTTCATATTTTTACGACACAAAACCGCTAACTGCACTTTCTTCATTAAGAAATAATATCCGGAAAAAACATCTGTCCATGAACATAGGAGGTGAATGACAGTTTTATACTCCTATTGACAGTTCAATACGCAGTCTACATATAATCTTCCTTCATATACATATTGCCTTTCTCGATGACAACGCTGATCAGGTGTACGTATAGAAAATATACCATCGAACAAACGGCATGCATTATGTTTGTCCACATCAATACCGTATAAACTGTCGCCAGCGATAGAAATAGATTTAAACTGTTAATGAACACAACAGGTACGTGCTGTAGTGGAAGTGACAATACGTCTCAGTATTCTACTGACGTAAGGAAAAAGACAATGTCAAATCAAAGAAAATAAATGAAAAAATACATACATACTGCAAAAATATTTGATAACCACGTGACATAGGCGCTAAATTATCACCTCTGTCTGAGAAGCTTTTCTGTTTTAGGGTTAAACACAAATTTTCTTAAACCCAAAGTCAACATTTTAAATGGAAGAAGGGAAAGAGATTTTCATACATTCTTAGAATTTGATACTAAAATGATTGGTGGGGACTTGACTTAGCTTCATTTTGCTCTTATATGAGCTTTTGGAGGCTTCGTCTGCTAGACAACACTAGGGCTTCAGCCTGGACCTACTGGAGGCATCAAGGCAGACCCCTTTAAAATACGTTTTACACTCCCTCTCCTCCAACAAGAATTTCTTGATTGCAGCTGCTAACAAGAGGCCTAAGGGCCTTTACAGTCACCTTAGTATAATACAACAATTTGGAGGATCCATAGAAGTATAGAATAAACTGATGGATGAAGCTTTATTACTCCGAAGCAACAGAAATACGATGATCAGGATCAACAAAATAATTAGTCTACTCATAAAGTAAGTTCCTCTTGTCCCCATTTATCACTATCACCATGCAGACTATTAACAAAACAATACTTCTTCTGTACTATTTTTAACTCCGTATTGTAACCTCTCACATCATAACTTTGCACTTAGTTGAAGATTTTCAAAGAATAAAAAAAAAAATTAACACATTTTCACTTCATTATCAATAAAGCCCCCCCCCCCCTGAGAAGCACCAGAACCCCTGACCCTGGGACCACAGTTTTAAAATTTTGTAAGAAGCACCCTTGCTCATCATTACCATGCACTTCGTTTATCTGCTCAATACCCAAGAGCAGACAAAATCATTTAATAGAATTAATGCATTTTTACTATATTATCAATAGATTTCACCCCTACACCTGAAAATCTAACCCAGGGGCAATGAAACTGACAATTCTGGAAGAAGCCCCCTAGCTCATCATAACTATACACTTAGTTTCTTTGCTTTATAACCAGGACCAGAAAAGAATATTTTCAAAGAAATTATACATTTTCACTATAAAATCAATAGAGCCCCCCCCCCCAAACTAGAACCCCCAACCCTGGGGTCAGGAATTTCACAATTTTGGAAGAGGCACCTTTGCTTATCATAACCACTACCATACACTTAATTTGTTAACATAATACCCAGGGACAGAGAAGATTTTCAAAGAATTAATGCATTTTCACTATAATATTAATAGATCTTCTCCCGATCTATGATCCTGGGGCCATGAAATTCATAATTTTGGAAGAGGCACCCTTGCTAAGCATAACCATATATTTAGTTTGTTTACATAATACCCTAAGCAGAGAAGAAGATACTCAAAGAAATAATACATTTTCACTATATAATCAATAGAGCCCCCCTCCCCAACACAAGGACCCCTAACCCAGGGGCCATGAAATTCACAACTTCAGAAGAGGCACCCTTATTGATCATAACTATATACCTAGTTTGTTTTCATAATAACCAGGAGCAGAAAAGAATATTTTCAAAGAATTAATGTATTTTCACTATATAATCAATAGAGCCTCACCCTAACACCAGAACCCCAGACCCCGGGGCCATGAATTTCTCAATTTTGGAAGAGGCACCCTTGATGATCATAACCATAAACTTAGTTTGTATACATAATACCCAGAAGCAGAGAAAAAGATGTTCAAAGAATTAATGCAGTTTCACTGTATAATCAATAGGGCCCCCCACCCCACCCCAGCCAACACCAGGGGCCATGAAAGTCATAACTCTGGAAGAGGCACCCTTGCTGATCATAACTATATACTTAGTTTGTTTTCACAATAACCAGAAGCAGAGAAGAAGATTTTCAAATAATAAATGTATTCTCAGTATATAACTAATAAAGCCCCACCCTAACACCAGAGCCCCTGACCCAGAGGCCACGAATTTCACAATTTTTGAAGAGGCACCCTTACTCATCATAACTATATACTTGGTTTGTTTGTTTAATAAATAAGAGCAGAGAAGAAGATTTTCAAATAAATAATGCACTTTATACTATATAATCAATAGAGTCCCCCCTCCTGCAGAACCCTTCACCCTGGGTCCACAAATTTCACAATTTTAGAAGAAGCACCCTTGCTCATCATAGCTATGTACTTCGTTAGTTTGTTTAATATACAGAAGCAAAGAAGAAGATTTCAAAGAAATAATACATTTTCACTATATGATCCCATAGCCCTTTTCTAACGGACCAGAACCTCTGACCCCAGGGCTATGAATTTCACAGTTTTGGTAGAGGACTTAGTGACTTATTACAATCAAGCCAACAGTTTGACTGCTTGATGTCCAGGAGTAAAGAAGAAGATTTTTAAAGACTGCATTAATTTTAATGGTTTTAGCCCTACCCCTCATGCCCCAGGTGGGCAAGGACCATGAAATTCAAAATTTTTGTTCTCCTTCACTCATAGATGCTGTATGCCAAAAATGGTTGAAATTGGTTCAACAGTTCCAGAGAAGAAGCTGAAAATGTTCAAATGTTAACATGCTATGAACATAACAGACAAAAACAGATAGCAACAGCTCATCTGAGTGACTCAGGATACCTAAAAATAGTATTTTTTCTAGCAAGTTAACATCCCCCCCCCTCCTCATAGGCCACAACACCACTCGCCCAAGAGTCACAATTCTATTTCTGATAAGTGAAAATGTAGATAAATGACACCTTTTATTGTATTGTGGTCATAAATTAAAAGATTCCTTCATTTTTTTAAAAAAAAAAAATTGACATATGAAGGTTTATGTTCCGACTTTGAAAAAAAAACATCAACAATTTCCCTTGGCTTCAACAATTTTTATTTACAGTTCTTTGATGTTTTTTGTTCTTTCAAAACTTGTGGTCCCAACCTACTCCAATCAGTATGGAGGGATATCAGTGCCACAATACTTTTTTACTATTTTTATTTTAATTCTAACTTCTTGTTTTCCAATAATTTTTATTTTTACTTTCTATTGAAATTCTAACTTTTGGTTTTTCCAAGTTTATCTTTAATATTTTTAATTATTATGCCCCAATAATCAAAGATTCGGAGACATATAGTTTTTGTCCTGTCTGTCCGTCTGTCTGCAAAAAACATTATCCTTGCCATTAACTTTTAATTGTTTTTAATCTATGGCTTTTATATTTCACAAGTATATTCCTTGTGACAAAACCTTTCTTTGGGTACCAACATTCTTCTTGACCTTGGAGTTAAACCAACTTTTGCAAAATTTTACCAAACTTTAACCTTTGTCGTAACTTTTGAACAGTTGGTGCTAATTATGTCTTTTGTACTTCACATGTATATTCTTTGTGAGAAGACCTTTCCTTGGTTGTAAATATTTTTTACCTCTTGACCTTGGAGATTGATCCAAATTTACAAAAAATTTTAACCTTGGCCATAACTTTTGAGTGGTTAGTACTACAGCTTATTTCATGTGTATTCCTTGTGAGAAGACCTTTCTTTGGGTACCAACAATATTGGCCCATTAACCTTGACCTTGGAGTTTGACCTACTTTGAAAAGCTCCAAACAAGGAATATACACAAAGAGGTTTTTCTGCCTTAACTCTTGATTGGAAGTTTGGTTCAAGGTCATTGCACATAGCTACCCAAGGACACTCTGTGTAAGAACTATGAGCCTAATTTAATCCAACAGGTTAGAAAATATGCTCTGAACAAGGATTTTATACAGAAAGGTTCGAGGTTTTTGACTTTGACTGGAAAATTTATTAGAGATCACTGCACATCCTTACCCACAGACCCTCTATGAGTTAAATTTGAGACTGTCTGTCCAAGTAGAGAGAAAATAAACTCTGGACAAGATTTTTTTTATTCATAGATTTTCTGACTTTGACATTTCATCTAGATATTGGTTCATCTTATAAACTTGGCTCAAGGTCACTGCGCACCCTGAACCCCCAGGAACTCCATGACTGAAGTATAAGCCCAATTGAACCAAGGGGAGAGAAAATATGCTTTGACCTAGTATTTTAAACAGAGATATTTTTTTCTGCCTTGACCTTTGCACACTGCACACCTGCTTCCCATGGGCACTCTATGAGTGAAATTTGAGACTGTCTGGGCCAAGGGAAAAGAAAATGTGCCCTGAACAATGTTTTTTTAATCAAAGATTTTCTGGCCTTGACCTTTCATTTAGAAAATTGATCCAAGGTCACTGCACACCCTTTACCTACAGGCACTTCATGGTTGAAGTATGAGCCAGCCCACCTGGGTCAATTGGAGAGAGAAAACATGCTCCCTACAAATATTTTACACAGACAAGTTTTTTTTTTTTTACCTTGAACTCTGACCTAGAAAACTGGTTCAAAGTCACTGCCCTCCCTTTATATATGGGCAATCTATCGGTGAGCCTGACTAGGACAAGGGGAGAGAAATATGCTCAGGACAAATGAAATCAGACAGAAAGAATGAACACTATGCAGAGCAGGGCCTAATAAGAAGGGACTTAGTTCTTAAAAAAACTTCCTTAACATCAATGACCTTCTGAACCAAGTTTACAATGAGTGAAGGTAAAAAACAATCAGATTTAGGGTTCTTTCGCCAAAATTCAACGTCTTATCATAGGGTTTGACTTTGAAAACTGTAACCTTGAAAATCTGGCACCTTAAAATATCTTTCATATTCAGCAGAATTTCTTATTACATGTATATCAGCTCTGAATAAACCTTTAATACTGTTATACTTTTCATTTGACATTGTATACTATGGACATTCTAATTCACAGTGGTCAAATTTCATGG